GGCGGTCGAGCTGCTGCTGCAGCGCGGCGCGGAGGTCGACTTGCAGGACAGCGACGGCTGGACCGCGCTGATGTGTGCCGCCGACAACGGCCACGAGCGGGTGGTCGAGTTGCTGCTGCGGCGCGGGGCGAATATCAACAAGCAGAGGAGCGATGCAGCACCGCGCTGATGTACGCCGCCAGCTGGCGACCAAGTCGACGAACCCGATGACGGGCGAGGCGCTCGAGTACACAGGGCTCTTCTCGCACCACATGCTGCGCAGGCAGATCCGCGGAGTGGCCAGAGAGTGTGTGGCAAGAGGCGCATCCAGGACGGTAGGTTTGTGTGGCGTTTGTGGAGGGGGGGGGGGAGGGCGAGGGGAGGGCGAGGCGACCGCGCAGCGGAGGAGCAGCGCCTCCCGCCGAATCTGCCGGCGACCCTCCGCCGAATGAGGAGGGCAGCGGGACCATGTCCATGTCCATGTCCATGTCCATGTCCATGTCCATGTCCATGTCCATGTCCATGTCATGTGCATAACTTCACATGACATGGCACACCACATAAATAAATAAATAAAAACGGACACCTCTCTACTGTGAGATGGGGGTAAAAGGGAACACGAACAGGTCCCCGCCCGTGCGATCTTTGTGCAGGGTTCTTTGTGGGTGTGGTCGCGGCGACTAGCCAAAACCAGTAGTCTGGTGAGTGGTGTCTGCCCCGCTTTTTCCGTTTTCCCCATAGCATATTGCCGCTACGCGCTAGCGCTACGCGCTACCGTCTACCGAGTACCGTGCTAGAGCCGCGCGCGCACATGACCATGTTGTGGTCTATGAATCATTTTTTGTACCTTTTGTTTTCCATGTCCACGACGCACGAGAGTCGAGAGTCCACGGCTCTACGCACTATACGGCGTTAACACATACTCATGGGGCTGCCAATACGGTACCTCGGCAGTAACAAACACATACGCCGCCGCGCGCACAGCCGCACACGGCGCGCCTCGCGCACAGCACGGCGCGCGGCCTAGCGCCATCTTGGGGCGCGGCGACACGGCCGAACGCGAGGATCCGCTCTCTCCGCGCTCGATCAACAACCCCCCCCCCCCCCCCCTCCTAGGACACACCTAACTCCTCCTAGCGTGGCCCGCTCCGGGCTCTAATCGGCCCCGAGGAAGCGCCGTGTCGCGGGCGCCGCACGGAGCGCCTCGCTCGCCATCACGCAGTCGAGGTACGCCTGCAGCGGCCCCATCCGGTCGGCTCCCTCCGCCGCGAGATCGGCGGCCGTCGGGAGAAGTGTCGGGAGGCGGAACTTGGCGGGACGCCTGCACCCGCTCGCGCGCACTTCGGGCGCGTGACTGCAGAGCAGCTCGTCGTGCAGACGCACGAACTGCGAGAAGCGCCTCGACACCTCCCACGCCACCGCCTCTGGGTGGCCGCTGCATTCTGCCGCGCCGCCGCCGCCTGCTGCAGCGCCGTCGGCGGGCGCCACGGCGGGCACGCCCTCCACTCGCATCTCGTAAACGACGTGCTGCCGCCCCCAGCTTGGCGAGCCGGGCTGCGAGCCTTTCGTCTCGCCCGAAGGGGCGTGCCCGACGATCCGAACGACCGCCTATGGCACAGAAGCCCAATCCGTTGCGACTCGGCCGACACGATGCGCGTCCAAAGCAACCGGGCGCACCGCCGCCCTCGCCGCCTCGCCAGAACCGCCTCGCACCTCCTCGGGGGGCTCCGACTCCGCCAGCGCCGCCAGCGTCCCCTCCCCCTCCACCCCCTCCTCCGCCGCCGCCGTCGCCTCCGCCGCCGCCTTCTTCTTCGACGCCGCCTCCGCCGCCGCCCAATACTGCTGAGCCTCCTTCCCCGGGGGTCTGCGCCTCTGGTTGCCACCTCTTTCGGTTCACTTCTTTTGGCGGCAATACGCCTTCGGCCATTTTTTCGGGGAATCCTTCGGTGATGGTGCAGTCTAATTTT